CACACCCAGTAAAGGACTTAGGGAAAAATACCTCTTGAAGAAATAAAAATTTAGAGCTCCCTCTAGATCACCATATTATTTTCTAATATATTTTAGTGCACAAAACCAATCATCAACAAGAGTAGGATGAAATTAAATGAATATTTAAGGAGGGGCTGGAAGGTGGCTCAGTGGTAGAGCGCTTGCCTTGCATGCATGAGACCCTGGGTTCAATTCCTCAGCGCCACATAAGCAAAAAGAAAAAAGCCAGAAGTGGCGCTGTGGCGCTCAAGTGGTAGAGTGCTAGCCTTGAGCTGAAGAGCTGAGGGACAGTGCCCAGGCCCAGAGTTCAGGCCCCATGACTGGACCCAAAATAAATAAATAAATAAAATCCATGAAAGGAAAAGATTGAAGTTGTCTTGTGTGTCCATGGATCAAACACAGGACCTTGTGTATATTAACTGTGCATTCTCTACTGTGTTATATTGTACAACATTCCTGCTACTGATGAGCAGGAAGAGCTTTTATTCTATATCTCACCCTATTGACCAAAAGATTAAGTTTTGGGTTTAAGTTTTGTGGGTTTTTTTGTTTTATTTTTTGTTTTTTTTGCCGCGCTAAGGCTTGAACTCTCTGGGCCTGGGTGCTGTTCCTGAGCTTATCTGGCTCAAGGCTAGCACTTTACTACTTAAGTCATAGCATCACTTTAAGCTTTTTTTTCTGAGTAGTTTATTGAAGATAAGAGTCTCACAGACTTTCCTGCCCAGGTTGGCTTTGAACCTCAATCCTCAGATTTCAGCCTCCTGAGTAGCTAGGATTTCAGGTGTGAGCCACCAGTGGCTGGCCAAGTTTTTTATTTTCTATACCTTGTATATAGAGAAAAATTCTAGTGTATGATTCATATCTTCTGTGATAAGACTGGACTTTACAGTATGTTTATTTTGGTTTTTGAGATCTCTGCTAATCACAATGAATGCATTTTAAAAGTAATCATGCACATTATGAAGACAATGCATTATAATTTGCTCAACATATTTTAATTTAATTTTAATTTTATTTTTTGCTGCTACTGGGGTTTGAACTCAGAGCCTGGAACATGATAGACTGGTACAACACTGGTACAATACCATGCCTCCATCTCTACTTTATCCCATCTGAGCAAATGCCTGAGCTACAATCTGCCCACTTTTTAAGCTTACTGTTATTGCTGGGATTCTAGGCACCCATCACCAATTCCAGCTTCCCTTCTCTTCCTATCTGAAAGATGGAGTCTCTCAGTCCTTTGTGTCCCAGCTTTGGATAACACGCACTTGCCACTGTAATCACTATGGGCTGAGAAGGAGGCTTTGCTGATGTTTCTGCCCAGACTGATCTTGAACTGGAAGCCTTCCATTCTCAGCCTCTCAACTATCTGGATTAGGCATGAGCCAAAGGCACCCAACTATAAGAACTCTTAAATACCAATAAGACAACCAGGAACTGGTGGCTCACACCTGTAATCCTAACTACTCAGGAGACTGAGATTTGCGGATTGAGGTTCAAAACCAGCCAGGGCAGGAAAGTTCATGAAACTGTTAATCTCCAGGTAAATACTAAAAATGTGGGAAGTGGAATAGCTCAAGTGTTAGAGCGCTAGCCTGGAGCAAAAGGGCTCAGAGCCATGCACAGGTCCTGAAGTTCCAAGACTGGCACAAATAAATAAGGATCAGTAAGACAAATATGAAGATCTAATATGAATGAAGAATTACCAATTAACAGTTCTAGAAGAGGAAGTACAAATTCCAAGAAACTGAAAATAGGCCTAGCCTTCCCATCAAAAGAATTGCAAGTAAAATGACAGATTCCTTCCTTTTGTATCCTATTCAAATTAGCAAAGATATAGTAGTGCTGATAAAGATGATGTTGGGGAATAGACATTCTCATTTATCACCAGTGGGAATGTAAATTAACACAATCTTCTAAAAAGTAAGTTAGAAATGGGTATCAAGAACAAGGAGTGGGCTGAGATGTAGCTTAGTAGCAAAGTACTTGCCTAGCAAGTGCAACGTCCTGGGTTGGTCCCCAGTACCAAAAAAGAAAAGACAAAACAAAACAACAACAACAAAAAAAGACAAGGAGTGTTTTTCAGTACAACAGTTTTTGACTAAAAATACTCCTCAGTAAGTAATTCACGTCTAAGAACCTATAAGAAATAGGAAATAAACACATACACAGAAGTGTTCTTTGTATAGATCAAGCCAAATGTAAAGCCTAATGTCCAGTGTGTAGGATGCTGATTTATATTTTAATGACTGGAAAATTGGGAGTAAAAAGACCTAATGGGCCTTTTTTCTGCATAAAGTAGGTAAAACTGTCTAAACTGTCTAGAATTAAGTTCATTGTTAACAGGTCATTGAATTAGGCCTAAACACATTTTGACTTTTTTTTTTTTTGTCAGTTGTGGGGTTTGAACTCAGGGCCTAGACATTGTTCCTGAGCTCTTTTGCACAAGGCTAGCGCTCTACCACTTTGAGCTACTTCTGGTTTTGGGGTGGTTACTTGGAGATAAGAGACTCATGCACTTTCCTGCCAAGCTGCCTTTGAACCGCAATCCTCAGATCTCAGCCTCTTCAATAGTTAGGATTCCAGGTGTGAGCCACTGGTACCCAGCCACATTTTGACTCTTATGTTGGATATATTTCATGATAGCTGTATAGTCTGGAGCTTAAATTATGTGTGTGTGCATGTGTATGTGCTACTGAAGCTTGAACTCAGAGCCTCAAGCTCTTGCTTGGCTTTTTTCACTCAAGACTGGCTCTCTACCATTGGATCATGCCTATACTTTTGGCTTTTTGCTGGTTAGTTGGAAATAAGAGCCTCGTGGACTTTCTTGCTTAAGCTGGCTTTGAACTGTGACCCTCAAATCTCAGTCTCCTAAGTAGCTAAGATTACAGGTTTGAGCTACCAGTGCCCAGCAGTAGCTTAGATTTTATCACTTAAAATTAATTTTTTTGTTATGTGTTGGACAACCAGAGGGGGGATAATTATTGCCTTTATTGGTTTTGGTACAAATCCTCATGTAAAAGAACCATCTTTGTACTATCAATTTACGAAATCCAACTTTTTAACTTAGTCATAGCAACTGCCTATTAGTCACATTTATTTTTGTCTATAAAAAAAATCTAACAGTAGCCAGGCACCAGTGGCTCATGCCTGTAATTCTAGTTACTCAGGAGGCTGAGATCTGAGGATTGTGGCTCAAAGCCAGCCCAGACAAGAAAGTCTATGAGAGTCTTATCTCCAATACACCAACACAAAATTAGAAGTGATGCTGTGGCTCAAAGTGGTAGAGCACTAGTCTTGAGCAAAAGAGCTCAGGGACAGTGTCCAGGCCTCAAGTTCAAGTCCCACAACCAACAACAACAATTTAAAAAAATCTAATGCCTGGAATTTCTCTTCAATTTTAATTAGTATAGTGCCTTGGAACCAATTAAGCTTGTTAAATTAAAAAAATATATTTTGTTCTGTTTAAGGCTGGCTTGAGTCTTCGTAAAGTAAACCGGCACGTAGATTTTCCACTTATGCTGGATTTAGCACCATTCTGTTCATCTGCTTGTAAGGTACAGTATGTTAGGATAGGTAATTAAGCTGCAAACAAATGCTTAAATCTGTATGTTGTTTATTAGGTCATGCTTCTGTGATTAAAGAAAATGTTGTTTGTAAAATAAATTTCTCTTCTAAAAGAGAATTTGAGTAAGTAAAGTCAGAAACCTGTGTCACACTTAATGCACCCAATAGGACTTTTGTCCTTTGGGAGAAAAATGAGTAAGACACTAGGCATGATGACTACGAAGATACAAGCTGCTTGTAAATGCTGTTAGAAGATGAAGGTTGCTGTAAGAAGTGAGCAGGTTTGGCGCCTTACCTTGTTCTTGTGTTTAATCTGCATAATGAGTAGTTTCAGCATAGGTATGGATTTTTGGCAAGTCAACACAATGCATTTTTATGCCATTTCATGTATAATACTGAGAGTGGTATACGTGTCTACTGAGTATGATACTTCACAATTCTTAATATCTTACTAATAGAAAATAGAAAGCAGACTGCTTTATAATTGCTTATACTTACTTGTACATAAGAATTGTATAGATGGAACTGATGGCTTTTCTTTATGAAACCAAGCAGTTTTAGGGTAATAAGGTGTCCTGTTCATGCTTAGTAGCTAAAATCCATATCTTATGGTATGCTGTAGGATTTTGTTTTGCTTGTTTGGGGTTTTGCTGTTACTATTTTTTAGAAACCTCTAATACTTGAACCTTACCTCCAGCCCTTTTTACTTTTTTCAGATAGAGTCCAGTGTTTTTTTGTCTAGGTTAACCTCACCAGGCACTGAGCCTTACTACTCTGCCTACCTACGCCTACCACATAGTAGGGTTACAGGCTGCAGCTTTGGGTCACTTACCTATCTTGAGTTTTTTTTTTTTTTTGGACATAGGGTCTTGTTAACATTTTGCCCTAAGCTGGCCTATAACTGCAATCCTCCCGATCTCTGCCTCCCAAGTAGCTGAGATTGCAGTATGAGTCACCAGCCCAATAGAATACTTTGAAGCAAACATACCTTCAGTGTGGTTTCCAGTTTATCTAATTTATTTGCTATAGAATACCAGTACTGTCAATCATTAACATTCATTATTCCTAAAATTTGATAATGTGGTAAATAATAATGAAGCTTACTAAGTTCAATGTTAACTTTATGAGATCATTACATTTGTTAAAAACGAAATTTCTAACATATACAAAATAGAAAGAACATGAACCTCCAGTCCTAAAACTTGAGAGCTATGGCCAGTCTTTCCCCATTCACATATTCCTCTCCTCCATACTATAATATTATTTTAAAGCAAATATTGGCACAATTTCTCCCATAAACATTGCATCATGTAGCTATAGAATATAAAAAATTACCTTTACTGTTTCTTTGTTAGTTTGTGACAATGTCTCACTCCATGGTTTAGGAATGGCTTAAATTTATATTCCTCCTGCTTTAGCTTCTTGAGTTCTGGGACAAGCATAAAACCTTATTCTCAAATAGCTAAAACTAAAAGGACTGGAAGCATGGCTCAGTTGATAGAATGCCTATCTCTAGTCAGCAGGAGACACTTAGTTCAACCTCCATTACAGCCAAATTAAAAAAACAAAACAAAAAAGAGTGGTGACATTATAATATTGGCATTTCTTCTTTCTTTATTAGCTAGAATATTTTTATATAAAGAGAAATTTCCTTGTTTGGTTACTTAATATATAATTCTTTTTTTTTTTTTTTGGGTCCGGTCGTGGGGCCGGAACTCTGGGCCTGGGCGCTGTCCCTCAGCTCTTCAGCTCAAGGCGAGCACTCTACCACTTGAGCCATAGTGCCACTTCCAACTTTTTTTCTTTTTGCTTATGTGGTGCTGGGGAATCAAACCCAGGGCCTCGAGCATGCAAGGCAAGTGCTCTACCACTGAGCCACCTTCCCAGCCCCATACTTAATATATAATTCTTATACATAATGCAGAATAACAAGTTGACTCCAAATTAGTTTTCAAACTAATTATCTGGTACTGATGGCTCATGCCTATAATCCTAGCTATTCAGGAAGATGAGCCCTGGAAAGATCACAGACTCCATCTTCAATTAACCAGTGAAATGTCAATGTGGCTAAAGTGGTAGAATGCACAAAAGCTAGCTGAGCAAGTGCCTGAGGCCCTGAGTTCTAGCTCTGATACTGGCATGCACATGCACACACCATAATAGTAGTAAATTACCAGTAGTATCCTCTATCATTATTTATGGATTTATCATTATTTTATAATTTATCATTATTATTAGTGGATTTAAATATATTAATTACATTTTTAAGTTTGTTACATTAGTCTTTTTGTTCATTCTCTAATATACTAGTCTAATGTGTTAATAGTTGATCACTGAAAGACACATGACCCTGCTAGTCCCTCTAATAAGAGTTATGCCATCATTGAATGTTTCATTTGTGTAATTTTTCATTTTTATCATTTAAAAATTTTCCTTTATAGAGGTTGCTTTTTTAATAACTGTGAAAGTACAGCTATTATATCAAATATACTAAAAAAGATAAGAAGTCTGATTTTTATCTGTCTATGCTATTTATTTCCTTCCTTTTATAAATAACCATTTAAAAATATGGCTTATTCGCTTGTTTTTAAAGTATAAGCAGATGTGTATGTATATATGTATATGTGTGTATGTATATTTGTTTCATCCCCCTTGAATAGCTTAAATAATGATAACTTACTCTGTGAATTCAGTTTTTTTTAATATTCTACCTTTTCCTGAACATTATGTCCTAGAGATTATTTAGGGATAGTGTACACTATATTTTTCTTTTCTTGTCCTGTCTGACCTTATCCTGCCCCACCCTGCTCTATCCCTTCTTTCTTTTTTTGTGAAGTTCAGGATTGAACTCAGGGCATTATACATGCTAACCACTGAGCTACCTCAGCCCCCTATTTCATTTACAGACAGAATACATAATATATTGTGTCCATGTGTCATAGTTTATTTAACCAGTTCTTAATTTATGGGCATTTGAGTTTATTCCAGTCATATGATGTTAAATATAATCCTGCAACTAATAGTTTAGTCTTTTTACATTTGCTCATGTAATTGTAGGATAAAATCCTAGAATTGGGATTGACAAATACAAGGATGAGAGAGAGAGAGAGAGAGAGAGAGATAAAAGTTCACTAGAGAACATGAAATACCACTGCATAAGAGGATACCCCTTTGAATTCCCACATGCAGTCTCTGCAATCACTCCTTTTATGGTACTGATCAGCCACAGAGGAACTTCTCCAGCTTTTGCATTTTCCCAGCTTAGTAGTATGGGGAAGTAATTCAGTCATTACATTTTGTTTTTTTGTGTGTCAGTACTGGGCTTAAACTCAGGGTCTAGAGCTCGAACTTAGCCTTTGCTCTCAAGGATGGCACTCTACCACTTGAGACACACCTTCACTTCTATCTTCTTGCTGGTTAGTTGAAGATAAGATATTAAGATTTGTCTGCCTGGGTTGGTTTTGAACTTTATGTCTTAGATCTCAACCTCATGAGTAATTAGGTTTACAGGCATGAGCCACTAGTACCTGATTAATAGTTCATGTATCTTCTTTTAAGCAGTATGTACATAACTTTTTCTCACAGTATTTTCACTAGCTGTTACTAAAACGGATTTTTCTCTCTGTTTCAAAGAATGTAAATATGGGAGACAAGGTTCTTTATGGTCTGTATGGCATAGTGGAACACAGTGGCTCCATGAGAGGAGGTCATTACACTGCTTATGTGAAAGTGAGAGTTCCCTGCAGGAAATTACCAGAACAGACCACTGGGAGGAAAAATGTGCCCGGTATGCCATCCTAAGTGTATTTTATTCTTAACAAAATATGTAAATCTGGTTGTTCTTTTGGAAGATGAGATATTATTTTATTTATTTTTTGGGTCCGGTTGTGGGGCCAAAACTCTGGGCCTGGGCGCTGTCCCTCAGCTCTTCAGCTTAAGGCTAGCGTTCTACCACTTGAGCCACAGAGCCACTTCTGGCTTTTTTCTTTTTGCTGATGTGGTGCTGAGGAATCGAACCCAGGGCCTCAGGCATGCAAGGCATGCGCTCTACCACTGAGCCACCTTCCCAGTCCAGAGATATTAAAAAGTATCTCACTTCGTTAATGTTAAGTAAGAGTTAGCTTTAAGTACTCCTTAATCTTAATTTTCATAAGACTGAATTCTTCTAATAAGTAGGGTGTGAGGTGACACAGCATTTCAGGATAATGAAATGAACACAAAAAATAATACACAATTTTTTGAAGACATACCAGGTCTTCAAAATAGACAGGAGTTAAGAGTTAGAAATTTGCTGGCTGTGCTTAGGGATGATCAAATTAACTTCATTATTTTTCCCCTTTAATTTTTTTTCTGAACAATTAAGTATTTACAAGGCTAATATTTCACTAGATAGTTAAAAATGTTAGTAACTGGAAATAATTACTAATTATTCCCATAATATTTGTAAAAAAAGATTAACCCAAGAAAATGATTAACCAAAGAAAGAACATGTACTATGTAATGAATATGTTGGTGTTTGCATTTAGGGAATATAAGGAATACTTGTTGTAAAATTGTACTCTTTTGTGTCCTTAGGTTTGAAAGAACTTGCCAGTGAGGCAGGAAGCCACTGGGTCTACGTCAGTGACACTTACGTGCAGGTGGTTCCAGAATCAAGAGCACTGAGTGCACAAGCTTATCTTCTTTTTTATGAAAGAATTTTATAGTTATTTGTTACTTGCTAATGGCAATGATTATTTAGCGCACTTTTATTTGAATGCTGCAACGGGAACTATAATATGTAATGTGCCTTGGTATTCTCTCTTCTGTAGGATCAGCATGACCTTCAAAGGCTCCTTAGCATTTTCACCATTTTTGTGAATCCTTTTAATGTAAATTAAATTTACTCAGTGCTTTCAAGTTTATATTTCTGAATGTAAAAACAAGATTTATTTCATGTCATGAGGGACAAAAATATCAAAATTGACAATAGTAAGAATTTTCTTTATGATATGGCTCATTATTACAAGCATTCAGAAAGGATGCTGGCTTAATGAAATTATTCCTTAATGATACTCTTTTCTCATTAAGATACTGCTTCTCTGATCTTCTGTAGTATATCCTATGCCATTATTTACTTTTAATGTTTTAGTCTTTTTAGCCTTAACCTTATTCTGAGCAGTTGTAATTAACATTTTATGTATTTGTTATTTTTGTAATAAACATCAAATTTATAACCATAGAAGAAATTATTTATCCATGAACCACTCCACTTAAAAAATCATCTCAGGGCTAATAGTGGTATATGTGTAATATTGTTTGGGACACATTACTGTAACTATATGGAATAATGCCTAATGTTATGCACTTACCTTGTCATATTTTATATGACACAGCCATATAAAAGGTATCACTGTAATTTTGGTAGTGTGAATTTTTCAAGTAATAAATTGATTCCCTAGTGTTTTGACGTTTTAAGATTATTCAAACATTTCATAAATAAACCATTTGCAGCCTATTCATGGTAGAGTTAAATATAATCTGCAAGTGGTTGGCCAAAGGCAAAATGTAATTATAGATAATTTATACATGAAAATTGGTAAATAGAAGTTGATAATCCAGTTGGGACCATGGGAACCTCTGAAGTCTCGTTACCAAATTATATTTGTAAATAAATGTTAGACAGTTATATTCTTATAAAAGGAAATATAATACAATTTCTACTTCTGTCTTTCAATAAATGTAGTTTCAGGATGTAGAGATCATTTTTGTCTTCAGTAATTTAAAAGATTAGGTGGATTTAATTGGGCACAGAGCTGGCATTTTGGTTTTCATTTAAAAAAATTATTGTTGTTATAAAGGTGATGTACAGAGGGGTTCCAATTACATAAATCAGAAAATGAGTACATTTCTTTTTGGACAATGTCACCCTTTCCCTCACTCTTTGGCACTTTGGTTTTCTAAGTAATTAAATAGTGGCAAAACATTTATTTATTTATTTATTTATTCATTGTGCCTGTCTTGGGACTTGAACTCAGAGCCTAGGTGCTGCCCCTGAGCTGCTTTTGTTCAAGGCTAGCTCTCTATTACTTGAGCCATAGCCCCACTTCTAGCCTTTATTTAGGTTTTGAAAGCAGCTTATTGGAGTCGAGTGTCTCAGGGACTTTTCTGCCCAGACTGGCTTTGAACAGTGATCTCAGATCTCAGCCTCCTGTTCCTAGGATTACAAGTATGAGCCACTGGTGCCCCTAGAATATAACAAAGTCATCAAGACTTAGCATGAGACATATTACTATTATTACTATTCAATTTTAAAAAAGAATAGCTACTTCAGTGTCATAGTATTAAATCAAAACATTACTATGTGGTCCAAGTTTCCTATCATTAATGCCAGTGTTTGATGACAGGAAGCATTAGATGAGTGTGCAGAAAGTGAGGACAGGACAAGAATAGTGACTATAAGATAATATGGGGAAAATATTGAAGATTGATGGTTTTTAACATCCCAGTGTATATCCATTATCAAGGTTAACAGTGCTACCTTTTGATATATGGATGAGTAGAATTGTGATTGGTGTTAAGATGCAACTAGTCTACAAAATGCAGAGTTTTAAAATGTCATTGCACAAATTCTATTTTTAGAATTGTTGAAATTGCTGTTGAGATTTAAGTAGTAGTGTTTTCTTGATTTTTAACAGTGAAAATGAAGAAATACATCTTTGTTATCTGCTTTGGTTAGTAAGGGGAAGTTTTAATCTGTAAACAATGAAGGTTTCAGTGTCAGAGCAATTAATGTGTGTGTGTGTACGTGTGTGTGTGTGTGCGTGTGCATGTGTGCATGCGCAAAAGCCAGTCCTGGGGCTTGAACTCAGGGCCTGCGTGCTGTCTCTGAGCTTGTAAGCTCAAGGTTAGTGCTGTACCACAGCCCAACTTCTGGCTTCTTTGTTAATTGGAGATGAGAGTCTCATGGGCTTTCCTGCTAGGGCTAGCTTCAAACCTCAGTCCTCAGATCTTAGCCTCCCAAGTAGCTGGGATTCCAGGCAGTGATTAATTTTTTGAAAAAAATTAAATTTCCTCAGTCAGCTCAGCCTACTTGGAAGTACCAGTTGTCAGCTCTCCCTCAAGCAATTTATTGTTCTAGAAATCTCATATCCTTTAAAGAAGTACACACTTCTCAAGGAATAAGAACCTGTTTTTTTTTTTAAATACATGTCTAGATAGATACCTATATTCACCAGGCATTATGTACTAAGGTGACATCGTTTTATCATCTTTAAAAATGGAAAGACCTGGGGCTGGGAATGTGGCTTAGTGTAACAGTGCTTGCCTAGCATGCATGAAGCTCTGGGTTCAATTTCTCAGTACCACATAAAAAGAAAAAGCTGAAAATGGAGCTGTGGCTCAGGTGGTATAGTACTAACTTTGAGCAAAAAGAAGCCCAGGGCCAGTGCTTAGGCCCTGAGTTCAAGCCCCAGGGCTGGCAAAAAGAAAAAAAAGATGGAAATACCTGTATGATCTATATAGTTTAGATATTATTTTACCAGAAGTATGCAAATAAGATATTTTTTATTTTCAATTCCATAGTGTTATATGAGCTGATTTTGAAATCTAGTTTTTATGGCCTAAAGTGTATAAATATTTTTTTCTTGGTCTCTGAAAAATTGTAAAACAACTGATTTTAATACCCAGGGATTTTCTAAATAGTACATAAAGCATACTGAATTGCACATGGGTTTGCATTTATTTTTTTGTTTTGATTTTGAAATTTTCCAAAGTACATTTGCAGGGATTTCTTAAACTGTGAGGCTACAGTAATAACAGTAGTTCAGGAAACTGTACAAGTAAATGAGAATGTTTACAGACCATCAGTGCAACTACATGATGTTTAACTGAATGAATTTAATAAGTCAAACCCAGAAGTTTCACTAGTTCTGTTTAGAAACTGGTTTACAGGGTATGTATAGCCCTTCTCCTTAGTCCCTTAGCTTTTCCATGTATAAAATGATGTTTTGATTACGTGCCAATTATACAAATATTTGACATAAACACATATATACATACATTTAAATTTTTGTCATACAATGCTTTAAAAATTATATGAAGACCATTTTTTAGGTAGCCTAAAAGAGTGGTCATTGATATCAATTCAGAGGAGTTGATTCAGAGCTAGTTTACTATATATAGTAGCTCTTAACTTTGCATGTGTGATGACTTTAGTCAGTGTTTTATAATATAGTTGAATAAAATAGCTGTAAAATATATTACCCTCATATTTTTTGCAGTACAGACGGACATCCTGCGTACTTCTCTTGGCTTGATATTTATATTTTTCTGCATGACACCTGATTATATAGGCATAAATGAAATATGTGCAATAAAATTGAGCCGTTAGATAATGGAATCTTGTCCATTATTAAGAAAGACTTTCTATATTTAAAATGTTCTTATTCATGTAGAAATAAGTTCAAATCTCTTTAAAAGATACAAATATATTTTCAATTTTGAGTGTCATTCTACTGTTGTCTTTTTTGCAGTGTTTTTAGATAATAGCTATGTAACTTATTGAGTTATTTTGGTGTTATAAGTATCATAATAAATATTAAATTCTTATTTTCCTTGTAAGATTGAGAGTTTTTTCATACATGTTATAGACAATGTTTTAATATTGTATTTGCATTTTTTAGTCCCCTTTGCAACAGTATCATGCAGTATCAACAGAATTTATTTCCTGCAGTTCTAGAGGATGGAAAGTTCAAGATTAAGGCACCAACAGAGTCAGTGTCTGGTGAGGGCCAGCACAGTCCTCATTGTTTCTTCACATGGTTAAAGGGACAAGGGAGCTTTATGAAGGCATAACCCCTGTTATGAGGGCTCTTCTCTCATTACCTACTTTCCCTAGGACTCTGCTTCCACATGCCCTTGCAGGAGGTGTTAACATTCACTCTGTAACATCTTAGTTGTATTCCAAATATTCTCCATATTTTAGAAATGCATATCTGAAAATAAAATATATGCACATATGAAGTACCATAGGAAAACTTCTTCGTACAATAAATCACATGCATTAAAGAAGCTGTAAGAAAGTTAAACAGGCTGTGATGGAGGTGGGCACCAGCAGGACAGAGGACAAAGAAAGGAATATGGTTGATGTAATTTATTTGCATGTGTGTGTGCTGGTTCTGGGGCTTGAACTCAGGGTCTGGACACCACCCTTGAGCTTCTTTTGCTCAATGCTTGCGCTTAGCTTTACCATTTAAGGCACAGCTCTACTTTGGGCTTTTTTTGGTGATGATTAGGAAATAAGAGTCTCAAGGACTTTACTGGACTGGCTTCAAACGTTGATCTTCTTCCTGATTAAGATTACAGGCATAAGCCACCAGGATCAAGATATTGTGGTTGTTTTCAGATGAGTGGGGAAGGGAAGAGTGTTAGAGGGAGTTAGATTGGTCTTGATACATTGTATTCATGTATTCATTCACAAGGGATGAAACTCCCTTTGAAAACTAATAAAGTTATTCTAATAAAAATGATTAAAAGTCTGGGAAAGTGGCTAGATGGTAGAGTGCTTGCCTCGCATGCATGAGGCCGTGGGTTTGATTCCTCAGTATCACATAAGCAGAAAAAGCTGGAAGTGGAGCTGTGGCTCAAGTGGTAGAGCCCTAGCCTTGAGCTGAAGAGCTGAGGGACAGCGCCCAGGTCCAGAGTTCAGGCCCCATCACTGCCCTGCCCCCCTCAAAAAAAAATAACCCTAGCAACTCAGAAGGCTTAAGATCTGAAGATTTACCGTTCAAAGCCAGTCCAGGCCGAAAAGGCCATGAGACTCATCTCCAATAAACTACCCAAAAAACTGGAAGTTGAGCTGTGGCTCAAGTGATAAGAGTGCTACCCTTAAGCAAAGAAACTCAGGAACAGTGCGTAGGCACTAAGTTTAAGCCCCACACTCAAATTTAACCCAGATCCTCAGGTTTCATACTTTCGGACATTTTCAAAATTCTTGAGTTATTTAGACAAAGTCATTTATTAGGAAATATTTTACCTGCATTAACTCTTTCGGGTCATGAAACTCTTTGAGGGTATGCTGAAAGTTATTTAAATATATTTTTATTATGCAATCATTGAATAAGTTTATAACTGTTAATGGGGTTGGCAGTAGGGCTACAGAAGTGAAAGCTAGAAATGAGGAAATAGTCTAAAATGAGTAAGGGGAAAGGATGGCAAATGCTAACAATATGGAGAA